CTGGCCCCGGGCCCGTCGTGCCAGCGCGCCGGCGGCCAGAGGGAGGCCAAGCCAGGCCGTGGTCCGGCTGCCACGTGCGAGCTCGCACGGGGAAGAGTCACGCTGACAGCCAGGCAGGGACTCGAACCCGGAGCGCCCCCTAGGTGCCATCCTCTGATGTGCACGGTGGGGGAGGGGTGGAGAATTCCATTTAAAGAGACAGGCCGCATTTCCTTGATCCTTGTTCCTCCGGATGCCGGGAGCTGGGCCAGAGCTTGGACCCAGTCAATGGTGCCCGCTCCAGAGCCGGGCTGCACCGAATCCTGACAGCCAGGCAGGGACTCGAACCCGGAGCGCCCCCTAGGTGCCATCCTCTGATGTGCACGGTGGGGGAGGGGTGGAGAATTCCATTTAAAGAGACAGGCCGCATTTCCTTGATCCTTGTTCCTCCGGATGCCGGGAGCTGGGCCAGAGCTTGGACCCAGTCAATGGTGCCCGCTCCAGAGCCGGGCTGCACCGAATCCTCTCTCCGCCCCGCACACCAGGCGTGTCACCTCCCCCAGGCAGCACCAGCCCCCTTGGCTCAGCCTCCGCTCCGGCGAGGTGCCACTGGAGGGGGAGGGGCGGGAGGCACAGCCGCGAGCGTTAATAAATAAAATCTGGCCTGACGGCGGCAGCACGTCCCCAGCAGCAAGACTGTCCCCCCGTGGGACAAAGGGGGCCTCAAAGGAGCCGGTGCATTGAAACACCCCCTCCTGCCCAACCCCCACCCGGGAAGGGGGGCAAGTTAGTAAAGAGTCCCAGTGTTAAAACGCGGGCGGGGCGGGGCTTCTATGTCCTACAGGGCAGCGCTGCCGGGCCCAGCATGACAGGAGCCAGGGCCCCACGGAGGGGCAGCCCTGCGCCCGGTCTTCCACCCGTGGAGGGAGCAGGGGCGCCTCCTGGGGTGTCGCCGGGCCCCCACCCCTCCGGGAGTCTACAGGCCGCGGCGTCCCCCGCGCTCTCCTCTCCGTGCGTGGTGGTGCCGTGGGAACTGCGCCGGCTCACGTCTGCTCCGCCGCTGCCGCCTGCCCGGCCACCTCGTCCTTGGCGGGGGGCTCCATGTAGATGGGGGTCACACCGGAGGGCTTCTTCGACCTGCCGGGGCCAGACAGGAGGGTCATGTGGAGCTGGGGATCCGCTCCAGAGCGGTATTGAAGGGGTTCGTACGGAGCCTTTAGCGCCAGGAGGTTTTGGGGGTGTCTCCTCCCCCAGGCAGGAGCCCCCCACGGTTTTCTCTGGGAAGGCACCCTACTGAGGTCACTGCCCTCGGCTAAAGGTGGGTGCAGGAGGGGAGCCCGCTGGCTCTGCCATTTCATAGGCAAGGAAGGGATCTGGGGCAGCCTCCCCCACCGGCAGGGCCTGGCCACACTCACAAGGAGGCAGGCAGGCCCATCACAGGGATCCACCCCCGGCAGCGCGTGGCCATGCTCATGAGTAGGGGGAGGCAGTGGGCGGGCCCACCACAGGGAACCGCCCCCAGGAGGGCGTGGCCGTACTCACGAGTAGGGGGAGGTGGGCCCACCACAAGGACCCAGGAGGGCGTGGCTGTACTCACGAGTAGGGGGAGGTGGGCCCACCACAAGGACCCAGGAGGGCGTGGCTGTACTCACGAGTAGGGGGAGGTGGGCCCACCACAAGGACCCAGGAGGGCGTGGCTGTACTCACGAGTAGGGGGAGGTGGGCCCACCACAAGGACCCAGGAGGGCGTGGCTGTACTCACGAGTAGGGGGAGGCGGGCACGCCCACTACCAGGACGTGGTTCTTCTTGCGGAAGAGGCGCCACAAGCCTTTGTGGTTGCCACGGACGTCCAGGTCCCAGATGTGCAGGCACTAGGAGGGAAGCGGCGCAGGCAGGTTAGAGCGCTGGCCTGGAGCGGACCGGCGAGCTGACAGCCTGCACCCCGCTCCGTGGCTCTCCAGGGCTGCTCGGCGGAGTGACAGAAATGCCGACCACGAAGGCTCCTTCCACGGCTGCCTGGAGAGCGTCTAACGCTACCTCCCTGCCCCCAGGAAGTAACCCCATGAGGGCAGCATCTCAGCTACTGGTACATGAGCCAGCTCCATTCGTGGGCAGAGGGGAGACTGCAGGGCCGGGGAGGGGTACGGGTAGAGGGCGCAGAAAGCTGCCTCCTTCTGGGGACTTGAGCTCATCTGCTCCAGTTTCTTCGAGGCACAGTCAACCCCAGAGTCACCCTGCTGTCTCGGGTCCAAGGGAACCAGCCAATAGGAGTCGGTGATAGGGGCCAGCTGAGCCAGATACACAGGGCATCCTAGCGTGGCTGCCGTGGGAGCCAGTGAGAACGTGATCCCTGGAGCTGGGATTTTCAGATGGCCCCGTCGCATCGAGGGGAGCTCTCCTGTACCACCCCAGGGGAGAGAAGGGAGATGCCCTTCCCTGACCAGCACCGTGCAGCGTGGGGGGGCAGATCTATGGGGACCAGCACAGAGGGCAGAGCAGGGCGTCACCTTGGCGAGCTGAGTCCAGGTGGTGAAGTCGGCTTCCCGCTCCATCCTGATGTACATCACGTAGGTCTTGCCTTCCGTGTCGGGCAGGAAGGAGTCCTCGCACGGGTTCTTGCTGTGATCCAGCACCGCAGCCTCACTGGCAGGGGGCACAGGGCTGGTGAGTGGGCAATTAAGGGCACCCCCAGCTAGGGACGTAAGCGACTAGTCCCTCGACTAGCTGCTTCCTCCCCCTAACAGAGGCAGCAAGGGAGGAGGGGGGAGAGCAGGAGCCGGTGTGGGCGGGAGCTGGTTCCCCCCAGCACCATCTCCGCGAGGGGCAGGGGGTAGCAGGGACCAGGCACAAGCTGGGAATCAGCTGTTCCGACTCACTCCGAGTCCCCCACGCTGCGCTTCAGCCTTTTAGAGGCTCTTAACACATTGAAAAGGCAGAGCTGCAGCGGGGTTATCTCCTGGGGCCGGGAGCTAGCCCCACTGCAGCTCCCCTGCTTATCGACTCGTCGATGGAAATTCCATCGACTAGTCGATTAGCTGCTTAAACTAAATGGAACCTCCTTACCCCCGGCAGGCGATCCACTGGGGGGCAAACCCAGTGCGGGAGAGAAGGCGGAGACCACGTTCGGATGATCTGCCCTCCAAGAGGATGGCTTTAGCGATACCCCTGTGAATCCCACGCCCCAGCCAGCCATGTTCCAGGCTGATCTTTCAGGCCAAGGGCCACAGAACACACTCACCCCAGCAGCCGGTGAATTTCTATCTCGTAGGCGTCCTTCTTTAAGCTGCACAGGAGAGACAGAGCGTCAAGGGGCAGCGAACGCAGAGACACGTTCCACGAGACGGGCCACGGATGAACGGCACCACACTTCCTCCTCCAGCCCCGCCAGGGCCAGAGCCGGGTTCCCTGTGGGCCTCGATCGACCACACCTCCAGTCTCTCCCCCACCCCACCGATTCAGCGCCGTTCCCACTACGGCTGTGCAGCTTTCACCAGCTAACAGGGGAGACTTACTGGTTAAGGGTAACTGGGGGGAGGGGGCTGCTCCGGCCCCATGCCCGGGGGGCTGCCTGTGATGAGCCCAGGGCCTCGCAGGCAGGGGCTGCTCCGGCTGGGACGTCAGGGCAGCTCCTGTCTGCAGTGGTGGGGGCCCAGCTCTGCTCATGCCCTTTCACATTGGCTGTACAACGGGTTAAACCCGTTAGCCCGTAGAGCGGGACTGTCCAGCCCTAATCCCCATGTCGCTGGGGAGCATGGGAAGGGACAGGGACAGCGGTGGGCACCTCCCTTCAGAAGCAGGAGGGGGGGGAAATGGGGAGAAGAGAGGAGGGGAGGAGGCAGGAGCAGGGGGAGCTCGTGGGAGAAGAAAGGGGGTACGAGAGCCCAAGGCCCCGGTAGCGCAGGAGGCTCAGGTCACTCACCCCTCCACGTTCTTCAGCGGCACGTTCGGGACCGTGTTGAATTTGTGCTTCTTGAAATAGGCTTCCTGGGAAACGAGCACAGAGAGGGACGTGGGCATCACCCTCCGGAGCCACGGCCACGCTCTGGGTCCCGGCCCTGCCCCGGCCCTCGTGAGCACAGGCCGAGGTCAGAGACCAGTAGGCAGCGCTGCCCCCCACAGGCGGGAGGGCCCCGCCGGCGCCACTCAC